GAACAGCAATGTATCGATCAGAAATTTATTCATACAACTAAACCAACGACTCAATAATTGCAAACTTACTTCAAAGTCGAAAGGTATGGTACAATGAATTCAAACTTTACAATGCGAGTATATTTGTAAAATTATGTACAAGAATTCCTGTTCAGAATTTCTCGTGCAGGATTGTCTGATCGGCCTGCACGGCTGTTTACCAATCAAATTGCGTGTTTCACTGTAGTTATCATAATGCTCATTCCGCCCGTGTTGGACTTGAAGATTTTGTTTTCATGGTTAAATATTATCCACATACAGGCTACAGCCGCGCGTGGACTGTGTCTAGTCAGTTTTAGTAGTAGTCTAGTCAGTTTCTTTCCTTTCTGTTCATTGCACCGCCGTCAACTAGGGCGCTTTATTTTGTACGAGGGCAGAACATAATACGGAACGGATATATAATTTAACCGAAACAAAGTATAAACTCAATTAAAAGCACAAAATTCTAATGCCAATGTTCAGTCATATTGTAAACAAACTCATTCTAAGCAAAATCTCATTCTTGTCGACGTTTCTTATTCCGCATACACTAACTTAGACAGAATAATATGTAAACAACATATACACCACTCACCAAATCAAGTCAACTCACAAGCAATCCATGAGCTTCTAAAGGAAAAGTTCTTTAATTTCGACAGTTCCGAGAATATTCTGAAAGAATGGTATATAATTGTAACCAACTAGAAAGCAGAACAGCGATATATCATAGTCCATCAAGATATGATGTTCTGCAAACTAAATACAAGTCATTGTGTCATGTTTTTGTCTGAGCTTATGTTAATTTGTGCATGGTGACGGTGATTGACCTCATTGTATTGAGTCGTTGAGACAAAGAATTTGCGCACCGTGAGGTACAGTTCAACATCAAACAAATTTAACGACTTCTATTTTCTAGCTTTGAAGTTTGACTGAGTTAACATTTCAAGAGATTGTCCGGCTTCACTATGCGCAAACGTATAATAGTACAAAGATGAACCGGCAAATCTTGATGGCAGTAATACATTATAGGATTTAGTGGTTTACTTATGTCTTGCATGACCGACTCACCGACTGCGCGACAGTTTGTAAAATGAAACTATCATTTCTACCCTAACTTAGGTTGCTGAAAGTGTACATCGTTCAATGATGAGATTACAATTTATGTTCTGCAGACATTATCAAAACTAGAGCATTGTTTATTGAGGCATTTGATAAAACAATCCTGAATATACAAAGTGATATCTATCGGTTTTTATTTCTCGTTAATTAATTAAATCTCTCAATTACGATCTCAAATCAAATCAAATCTTAATACATGTACAAAACTATGGTCAGAAATTAGGATATATTGTTTCGCTGAATCGAGTGGTGGTATTTTCGTCTCCATAGTATATACACCGAACTAAAGATATGAACCTACAAACTCATAAAAATGTGCAACACAATTTGTTGTATGGCATTTTCTGTTGCAAGCTGCCAACTCACATTTTCGTAGAGACGTAGAGTATATATATATGCATTAATTTTAATGAACAAGACTAGATATGTTGGCAACTCTGATTTGGCTTTACTTAGATGAAAATTTGACAATTTGAAAATTTTGCCCATATAAAAAGTACTATGATGAGAACAATTCTAAATTACCAGTTCACTTTTAACAAAAATAAACTATACCGTCAGAAAAGTTTGCAAAAAAGTATATATATGACATTTAAGCGAGTAGTATGATTTTCTTAGCCAAATTTGAGCTTTCAACACTCGAAAATGAAGAAAATGCGCCAATTAATGATGCTGATAGATATACTATTTGGCCAACTTTATGCCCCTTTAACTCAAAACCGGCTTGAAAAAAAAATTGCGCTGCTGGCTTATAATATATACTTTTTGCGATATTTCTAATGGTGTAGATTTTTTTTTTGTGAAACTGAAGTGAACTTGAAATTTTGTATTTTTAGTCAACGTAGTTCTTTATTATTAAAATTCTCAACTTTTCAACTATAAAGCCAAAATTAGAGCTGGCAACATTTATAGTCTTGTTCGCCGATGCGCATGTAAGCTATATAAGAAAATGCCAGTTGACAGCTTGTAACAAAAAATGCCATCAGAGTGTACCTTTCAGAGTGTTGGCCGGTCGTCTAATACGCTAATAGGGAGACAGGTTGAGAAAGAGCTTTGTAGGCAAATGAATTGTTGTGTAAGCAAATTTTGTTGGCCGCATAGTTGTCTTGCCTCATAGTTAACTAACTAACATAGTTAACTAGGTTATTAATAATCAATGATCAATTTCTAACGCGAAAACGATTTTACATCATGTGCAATTAATGCACACAGGATCGAAATTTAATTTCTAAATATAAACAGGTCACTTCAGCTTATAGTTTTGTAAAATTAATGCAGGAATCTAAAATAATATAACATGTAAAGAAATGATCAAGAACAGGAAACACAAATTGCCTACCTTGGTACCTTCAAATTAAAATGACACAACTTTTGTTTCGTTATAAACTATATCAGTTTGACGTGAATTTTGTCTAGCTTCGACACTATGTAAGTCAATATAATATGTTGCACAAAGATATACACGTCTAATGTTTTACATGACTGCGCCACAGTTTGTAAAATTAAACCGACGTGTGGGCAATTTGTTCAAGCACCATGACGACCCACACGAAAAACCCCAGCAGGAATCTCCATCAGTTATAGTTTCTCAAGGAGTGGGTAGAGCTAAGTGCCATTATTGAGTAATACTATGATATGTCAACAATCCAGCCGAAATTGTTTCACACAGTGTGAGATCAAGTATGTGGCATACTTCGAAACCTGGACCGGACTCGAGAAAGACCAGGACCCGGACTCGAAAAAAATCCGGACTCGTCTTTGAAAAAGCCAGGACTTGACTTTTGAAACAGAAAAAAAGAGAATGGAAAGGTTTATTTGCAAAGGTTTAACGGCAATAGTTAAACATGATTAACGATGATCTCTTTATAACAATGTAATCAGTATGCATCTTTAAATACATTTCTTGTAGTGCAATATCAGCTCTGGATGACTCGATATTTTACAAGAAATTGTACCGAAAATCCTCTGTGTTGTCAGTCTTATACATTAATTGTTGTTATATATTTCTTGACGTATTATTAATTTCTGATCTGTTTTGATAGATATTACGAAGAGTTTCGACACAAACTTGGACTAGTAAGGCAAAGATCACACGATGTAGCGCTTATTGAAGAACTTTTAAAGGTACGATTTTATATGATTGAATAATCTTTGGAAACTGCATTTTGTGTTATTTTGTATCTTACACGAAAACAGGAGGTTATGTTTCCATCCGCATTCGTATGTGTGTAACTATATGCGTTCACCTTTCTGCACGATAACTCTAAACCATCAAAAGGTATCAATATGAAAATTTATTGGACTAATGGACATTGCGTAAGGACAAATTGATTAAATTTGATTAAAAAATGGATGAGACATTAGCAAAATTGCATTGCCGGGCAATTCAATTCAATTTCAAAATTTTATTAACACTGTTTCATATCATTACATTTTTTTTAAAAAAGTACAGGAAGAAAAATAAAGTATATTGTAGGAGTTAAAGATAATTAAATATATGAAATTTCAAACCAAAAAAGTAGTAGTGAGCGACAGCCAGAGGAGCAAAGCTTTCGAGCTGGTTGCCGCAATGTCAGAGTAATGTAAGCCGATTTAGCTCTCAATTTATTTAGTATAGAATAACAAATAATCAATCAAACACAAGAAAATAAAACTAATATATAAATATTCGAGATAAAGTAGAAGAGATCTGAAGTAGTAGATTATTCCTGGTTATATAAAGTAGAAAGTTTTTATATTCCTTTTTGAAAGAATTAAAAGGGAGTGATTTAAGGAAAACGGGTATAGTCTCCCATAATTGAGAAGCAAAAGACTTAAATGAAAATTTGCCATAGTTTGTTCTAGCAGCTGGCCGATAGTAATTATCTTGGGATGCATACCTTGTATTATAAGAATGCACACTAGATACAGGTACTAACAGTTCTGAGAATAGTTCTGGAATTTCATTACCTCTGTTCCTTATTTGACTCACAAATGTTGCTGTTTTAAATTTAATCAAATTATCCAGCTTTAAGATCCCAAGTAATTTGTAATATGGACTCGGATTCTCACGTCTATTTGCGAAAAATATACACTTAACACATTTGTTAAGTTTTGATGATAACTGATTTAACTTACTTTTGTAAGTAGTTCCCCAACTCATTAAGCCGTAGCTCAGATATGGATAGATAAGAGTGTAATAAAGATTAGTTAACATGTGTGTATTAAGATAACGTCGTAGTTGAAATAAAATTCCTATATTCTTGGCTATTTTGCTATTAACATGTGTGATTTGATTATGCCATTGAGATGCTCGTCAATATAAACACCAAGATATTTTATACAACTTGTACGAGTAATATTAGGAATATCAATTAAAGTATTTCTTCTTGGTCTTGATGTTATTAGCATATAATTTGTCTTTTTGAAGTTTATTGAGAGTTTATTTGCTGAACAGTACTGATATACTTTAATTAATTCATCATTTATAACATTTTGTAGTATATTAGGGTTTTTTGAGGAATAGAATATATTTGTATCATCAGCAAATATTTTAAATTGTAATATGTCAGAGGAGTTTGGTAAATCGTTTATATAAAGAAGAAAGAGAAGTGGGCCAAGTGTTGACCCTTGTGGTATACCACATTTTACTGTTAATAGATCTGATTTGACATTACCTATCTGTACAAACTGAGCTCTATTAGTTAGATAGCTTAGAAACCATTGCAGGGGTAAGCCTCTTATTCCGTATTTTTCAAGTTTTCTTAATAATATATTATGATTAACAGTATCAAACGCTTTTGAAAAGTCTAAGAAAATTCCACAGGTATAGAGTTTATTGTCTATTGCTGTTTTAAGGTAGTCAGTAATTTCAAGAATGGCTTGTTCAGTAGAATAGCCTTTTCTAAATCCAAATTGAAATTGATATAAAATATTTTGTTTCTTAACAAAAGACAATAGTTGATCATAAATTAGGCGTTCAAAAACCTTACTAAAGGGAGACAGAATTGATATGGGTCTATAATTTCCAGATTCAGTCATTACTCCACTTTTGTAAACTGGGGGTACCTTCGAGACTTTCAGTACATCAGGAACAATACCAGAGATAATGGATTCATTATACAGCATTGTTAATGGCACTGAGAGTAAATGATGAGCTAATCTTACCAACTTATTAGGAATATCTAAGGAGACCTTACTGGGATTAAGTTGTGAAAAGAGTAAAGATACATCAGCTTCATTCACAGGTGACATAACGAAGCTAGAAGAAGATGATTTTTTAATGTATGATGTTGGATCGACATTAGTATTATCAATCAGTTCAGCTAACGATGGTCCAACATTAATAAAGTGCTGATTAAACTGGTTTGCTATGTCCTGCTGCTTAACATATATTTTGTCATTTCTAACTATTCTAGTTGGAATTGTTTGCCCTTTTGTTTTCCTTTTAATTAATGTACCTATGAGTTTCCATGTTTGCTTCAGATTATATTTATACTTTTGAAAGTAATCAGCATAATAAATATCTTTTGCCTTCTGTTTTAATCTACTAAGTAAGTTAGCATATTGTTTATATTGTTGTACATGCAATGGGAGTCTACTTAAAAAATGAGTACAGTACATTTGTTGTTTAGTCTTTATTGATTTTAAAAGACCATCAGATAGCCATGGTTTAGATATTTGTTTCATTTTTGATTTAGAGGCAATCCTTAAAGGAGCATATTTATCAATAATAGATTTTAGGGCATCTATCACTTTTTCTGTTTTTTTACTTAAATCCATATCTGGTGCAAGCACAATATTATTCCAGTCAAAGGAGTTAATATCACTCAAATAAGCTTCACTATTAAAATTCTTATAGTCACGGAAATATACTTTTTCTTTATTTCTATTCATCTGGATATCAGACACACAGAATGTCGGTAAATGATCTGAGATATCAGCAGTAATTATTTTGCTAGTTATGTTTATAGGGGATGCATTTGTATAATATATATGATCGATTAATGTTGCAGTGTGGCAAGTCACTCTAGTTGCTTTTGTTATTAACAGAAAGAAATTATTGCTATAGATCATATTAAGATACTCTTCAGTTTGACCATGCACATCACAATTAAAAAGGTTAATATTCATATCACCTAATATATAAGTTTTATAGGAGGTTAGCCCATTCATAATACCTTCAAGTTCTTCTGTAAAATCTGATAAATTAGCTGCAGGATGTCTATAGATGCAACCAATCATTACATTAGGTTTATTAATACCAGTATCCAGTTCGATCCAGCAAGACTCCACTAAGGGCATATTAAATTTTAAGTCAGGTCTGAATATAGCTTTCAAGTTTTTATTAACATAAATACCTGCACCACCAGCATTTGTCGGTGAGTCATTATGAAAGAAATCATAATTAATTAGATCTATATTATCTACAGACTTAGAATCTAATTTAGTTTCAGTAATTGCAATTAGATCAATAGGTTTATTTAAAGAATCTAAAAGTTCATTTAATAATGGAAGATTTTTTGGCAGGCTTCTAATATTGCAATGTAGAAAACTCAGGCTTCGTTTGTTACATTGATCAAGTAGCTCATTGAGTTGGGAAGGACTACAGTATTCTGAAACTGGATTTATAAGCATGAGGTCAGAATCCATATCATCAAATTTATTAGGATTAGGAATAATATCATAGATATCTTTATTCCGGTCTAGCAACAGATCGAAATCGAAATCGAAATCAGACATAATTAAAATTTAGTCAAAGATAAGTAAACAATTCAACTATAATTATAACAACTTATCTGTTCTTATAATCTTCAAACTGTTCGATCGTCGTAAAAGTATAGATCCTTGAGTCATCATTTTCTCGTAAAAGGATCTTCCCATTGGCTGTTCAGAGAAACTTATGCCTATGAGTTCTCTTAAAATCATTAATCTATGTCAAAGAGACGTTTACGATACGCCGTTAACGATTCATTGATATGGATACTGGTATAATGAAGTGCACTCTGTCTATTATGGTTTTTCACCGATGGCAGGCAGCTGGTATTTTTGCCTCCCAGGCTTGAGCGCTTCTTATAAAACTCCTCTCTTTAATCACGACGCGTAAATTTAACAATTAAACGATTCTTTACTTTCTTGGTATTAGGTAATCGATGCGCAGTAGAGATATATTTCTCATCAACTTCAACCTCGATAGCAGAGGCTAGTTCCATAACCATCGCTTTCGTATTTTCCATGGGCAACATTGGTATCCCGATTATTTCGAGGCAATCTCGCCTTTGATACTGTTCGATTTCATCAATGGCGACGTCGTGATCGTAGGTCGTGTTGCGGATCTGTTCGATTTTACCGATAGAATCAGCTATTCGTTGGTCTTTATCGGCTACAAGCTTCTTTGTTGACTGAAGCGGATGTAGGAATTCATCATACTTAGCTGATAAATATTTCTGCGACTCTTCGATCTTCAAGAATTTTGCATTCAAGTCAGAAATCGTGTCATTCACTTGACTATTTCACTTTTTATCAGCTTGTGGATACTTGGAAGCAATTCATTATTCCATAGTTCCATGAAGCTATTTTTAGTTAGACTTTTTGTCATCTTAAGTATCAAATTAGAGGCAAATCGAGCTTACATTCAAAGAATTTAGGCAGAAATTATCGCCGCCATTTTGGCTGCCTCTGCCTTCACTGCTTCCACTGTGTGTATTTAGCGCATTGTATAATTTATGTTACGTATTTAGCGCATTGTATATGTATAATTCATTGTACAATGTGTATTTAGCGCATTGTATAATTTATGCATGATGCAGAGCTTAATTAAACAACCTGTTCATGGAGGTGCAGCACAACGTTGTGGGCGTAGGGATTTGTAAACCTTGTCTTCCAGTTTCTATCCCGTCACTTCTCAGTTGCTTACGTCATCTTTTTGTTTTGATACTTATAAAGATTCAGAACACACTTGCAACTATAGTTAGGTTTGCCAACGACTTTGAAATAGAGCCGAAATATAGGGGTATACTTTGAATTTTGTATGCTATTCTTAACTCAAAATAATCTTGCAAGGAGTTGAATGCTTTCTCTTCCGTAAAACCACGTCACGTAGCTATTGACATTTATCTTACATGTAAAACTAGTGAGTGTGCGGCGCCTGGCTCGCTCACTTTTCCCTCGCAGAAAACAAGAGAAACCCTGGAAGGGGTTACAAGCTTTTACTATTCGAAGTATTTTCTCTATTTCATGAAACCTGGGAATAAGGTTGATTGTCTGATGGCTAGGTTTAAGAATAAACTATTGTTAAATTAAAAAATTTTCATTTTGTGGATAATGCTACATTTCGTAGATAATCCGCATTTAAATTATTTACGTTACCGTATTCCCTCTATTTGGCCTCCAGCCTCTATATTCCCCCCTGCTATATTCAGATCCTAGTCTAATTAAAGAGCACCGAAAAAGATCCCACCGTCTATTAGCCCCACCTCCACTTAGGCCACACCACTCTGCCCACACCATTTTCAATATAGACTTATAGCGATGTAATAACACTATCGTTTCATAAATTATTGAGTTTATTTAATCCGAAACAACAATTAGAACGACAGAATAATACGTCTTTTATTTTGTTCAACTTTCTGAGGTGTTAAATTCATGTGTTTGAGTTGCTTCTCTGAGGATGAGGAAAAACATGATAATTTACTTAGTTCTCAGCCTCTATAAGCCCCCCTTATATAATAACCCCGGTCCAGAAGCTCTTGTAAACCAGTTTC